TTTTGGGAGTGATCCAAAGTGCAATTGCTTGAGTGATTGCATCTAGTGGCACTTGGGGATCGTTTGAGCTGTGGTTTTCTTGTTACTCTTGTTGGTTGCCGCCACCTAGATGGCTTGAAGCGTAGGAGCATTGGCATGAGTTGGTGATTGTTCATGGCCATCTTCCGGTGATTTGTGCAGGTTCTTGACCTTCTCATAGTGAAGAGCTAAAATGTACTCTAGCAAATTGCTCGTGTCATTATGTTACCCTCACTTGTGGGTAGGTTCTTGTGGCACTATAGTGTAGGGCTAGGCTTGTGGACGCCTATTAGCCACTGAACGACCAAGTGTGTGGTCGACACAACAGGGACTAGTGTGCCAGCAAGCATGTGAATCTCGGGAGAAAAATCTTGTGTAAATTGTGTATTGGAATTCTCCCGGTATTCATTGGTATTATTGATTGATCATCACTTGTCACGTGCGGTATAATCTCTCTACACTCTAGCTTTACATTTTCTCTCTTTTGTAGAGTAGCTCTCTAGTGTAGAAGTAGTTAGTTGTTCTTGTAGCTAGCTTAACTAGTTTAAGTTAGTGACTTAGCCTCTCTTGTGTGCCTAGAGATTGTAATCAACTAGCATTGTTAGTATAGGTGGCTTGCAACCTTGATTAGAAAAGCTTTGCTTATTATTTAACTAATATCTTGCTCTAGTAATTTGTAGAGATTTTTATTAGGCTATTCACCCCACCTCTAGCCATTTAGGACCTTTCACCCATCTCGTGGGAAGAGGCATTGTAGGAACCATCCAAAGAAAGAAGAAGAGGTGGAAGTGGAACCATCCAAATATGCTTCCTCCGAGTCATGCCAAAGTTGAGATTGAAGATGGTACTAATAACGGGGCTACAACTTGCAGTGATGATGCATGCAACAACAATAACTCTAGATGCAGCAACGTCAACATGGAGAGGAACAAAAATCCATGGAAGCTCCTGAAGAAGCTAGTGAAGGTGCGGGCACTCATGTCACTGTGAGCAAAACCAGCTAGGTGCTTACACATGGGTGGCAGAAGATAAAGTTTGCTTTGTCTATTTTAATTTGAGACTCTCATAGCTCATCCCCTACCATTATTGGTTTGGATTTCCTTATAAGCTATTTGAATTTTGCATTTTGATTTGTCATTCGGTAAAATAAGGCTACTGTGTTGATGTGTTCAACATATTCAAATGACAACAGTTTAATTAAGGAGAAAAATATGGTTGTTACTGTTTTCTTGCATTTATAAACAAATGTGGTTATTGATTGAGCTTGTTTATGTTCTAATCTTCTCATGAGCTAGCTACAAAATGTCCTTTTTTGGTGGTGAACATCATTTGGGTTATTATAACGACTCCTCAATCTAATTAGGTGGGTCCTTAGATATGGCTCACATGAGCATTGCAAGGAAATTGATTGTTCAAATAAAGTACTTTTGGTGCCATGAGTTATATGCAAGATTAATGTGCTGTTTGGTTCCTTGAGGAACCACCACATGATGAGATGGTGTATAATTTGGTTCATTCCTCAAATTTAGTAGAATGATATTATCACTTATATTTATACTAGTCATCTATAAGCTTTCAGAAAAATAAGGTGGCAAGAGATCAACTCATCCAATTATACAAGTCAAATAAAAAGAGTGAAGAGCAAGAAGGTAATAATGTACTACAACATTCCTAAGGTTTTGATTATCCTGAATGTTTACCAAATTGAGCTCATTTCTCTTCAATCATCAAACAATAAACCCACAGAAAAACTCACGCCGGCCCTCGCTATGTCCGCTCATCGCAATCGTTGCCAATAAAATAATTCAGGCAGTGGATGCCGCTACCTAGTCCAAGATCTGTTCGAGAGCAGCTCTAGGCCTATTCCTATTTGCAGTGTTGATAAGTCTCTTTCACATTGTGTGGGCCATAGGTTTCTTCCACGGCTAAATATTGGTACATATACTGTGGAGAAAGGTCTGAGTTGGATAATTGATCGACCTCATAGGTGTACCAATGTTGTGGAAAAATAAATGGACAAGGCAGATGGTCACTCAAACGTTAGCCGATGGTGCGTGGTAAGCGTAAGCCATTAGGAACAATGCAGTTGGAAAGCCTTTTTATTCCTGTCTATATATAGATTTTTTAGATAGTGGAAAATTATGTCTTCACCTCTTCAAAGAAGCAGCATCAGTCCACGCTTATTAGAAACACACCAAGAATTTAAACTTGTTACCGGTTTGAAACTAGAATCAAGATGGTATTGAAAGATCATCCATTAGATCTAATAGCCTATGGGCCTAGCGATTTGCTTTTGTCTTCCTCCGAGCATTGTATAGAGCCCAAAATCGAAATAAGTGTGGCTCCCTAAATAAAAAAGAACCTATAAAAACATTTTTTTGCCGGCCTTTATCAAACACCATGCCATTGTGTTCTAAATTGCCTAGCAAAAAGCTGCTGCATAAGACAATAATAAGTGATTGTGACGGTGGCCACCCAATTTCAACCAACTAATATAAAGATTATTGATATTTTGTGGTGGTTTAATGCTAAACAAAATAAATACAGCACACCATATATAGGAACCTAACATAATAGCAATTAAAAAAAATATTAGATAGTTAGACTTACTACATATATAGCAAGTCTTACTACCATTCCAATTTCTCTTAGTTGAACAATAAGTATTGACTATATCTGAAACTAGTGTATCTGACAAGTTTTTACCCACCAAGGCTAGGGTATAATTAGCCCATATAATCCCATCCCATCATTCCAAAAATGCCCAAGCCCATAGCTTATAAACTAGGAAACAAGTGTTGTCATATACTTACTTCCTCCATCTCAAACAGAGTGTCATTTAGATCCATAGTTAAAATAATACTTTTTTTTGGGACGAAGAGGGTATTATTTTTGTGTCGATGATTAGCTGATAGCTAAATACTTTTACCAAAAAGGCATCATTTACATACGGCATGTGGAACTTTACATAAAAGACAAGCTGTGTGTCTTGTACTGGCATTATCTTTTCCATTTTTATGTAAACAAAATACTTCCTCCATTTCGAATTACAAATCTTTTTTTTTTTTTACATTTATTTTGCTATACATCTAGATATAATAATATGTCTAGATACATAGCAAAATGGATGAATCAAAAAAGTCAAAGCGACTTATAATTTGGAACAAGGGAGTAGCATTCATAATCATTAGAAATCCATATAACTCCGTATGTAATTAGTTGTCTAAGGGTCTGTTTGGATGTTAATTAGAAAAAAGAACGTGAACTAATTTCAAACTAATTGTATAAGCAGTGACCAATCTATTAATCCTAATTAGTTTATAATTGCCATATGCTTACTGTAGCACCATATGAGCTAATTAGGATTAATAGATTCGTCTCACCAATTAGTCACCGTTTATGCAATTAGTTTTGAAATTAGTTCATGTGTGGTTCTTCAAATTAGTATCTAACATAATGCTAGTTTTTAGCAGTCGAGATCTAAACAGGCCCGACAGCGTGCAATTGCTGGGTATGTTATGACTAATAGAAAGATTGTATGCCCTGATAACGGGCAATTGCTGGGTATGTTATGATTTAACAGAAAGATTGTATGGGACGCGTTATCTGCCACCCAAATATTTCTCCACCATCTGTTATATATATAGGCCCCATTTGGCTTCATGAATTTTGACTAAAACTGACCGAAAAATATTATTTTGGCTGAATTATTGTAAAAGAAAAATACTGTTCCACTAAAAAAAGAAACCGAACAAGCCGGATATAAACTAAGATGAACGGCCCCCTAAAGTAAAGTAAAGACAAACATTTATCCACCATCGTTCCTGGACGCCACTGAGTCATCATGTATATACGGAGTAAATAATACTAATAAATAAATCAATCAACATCAATTCTCTGATCACATCAGGAGCAGGTTGTAATACTCCCCGGCCGCGTTTAGCCCTTGTTTAGTTCCACCCCAACTTCTAAAAAGTTGCTACAGTACCTGTCATATCGAATGTTTGCGGCCCGTGCATGGAGCATTAAATATAGACGAAAAGAAAAACTAATTGCACAGTTTGGTGGGAAATTGCGAGACGAACGTTTTGAACCTAATTAGTCCATGTTTGAACACTATTTGTCAAATAAAAACGAATGTGCTACAGTAGCCCCAAAATCCAAATTTCTCCAACTAAACAAAGGCTTAGTTCGGCCCCGGATTCGGCCGCCACAGGAATCCCAGGTACTGTAGCGGTATTGTTGCACACTGTAGCATTTTGTTTTTATTTGGTAATAATTATCTCATCGTTGACTAATTAGACTCAAAACGTTTGTCTCGTAAAGTACAACCAAACTGTATAATTAGTTTTTGATTTCGTCAATATTTAGTATTTCATACATGTACCACAAGTTTAATGTGACATTAGAGTGTTTAGTTCCCCTCGGCACTATGGAAAAAAAGATTCCCGTCACATTAAATTTGTGGTACATGGAGTACGAAATGTTGATGAAATCAAAAACTAATTACACAGTTTGGTTGTACTTTACGAGATGAACGTTTTGAGCCTAATTAATCAATGATTGGACAATTATTACACAGTTTGGGTGTAGCTACAGTGTTTTTATGGGCGCCGAATCGGCGCAACTAAACGAGGCCGTTGTTTTTTTAATGAATCTGTAATCTAGTACAGTACCTGCACATCCAATTCCAATGCACGCCAGAACCCCTACCGGTCTACTCCGTACGAGACCAGCAGTGTACGCTCAACCTGTCGCTTTTCGTCTTTTCCAATCTTTTTCCCGGTAATTAATAAAGCGGAAAAAGATGGGCAAAGAAAAAAGCAGCCAAGATTAGATTAGCGCCGTGCCGGAAAAGCCCCTCGCCACTCTCTCCCCATTCCCCAGTCCCCCGTACCTGAAGAAACAGGTGTGTTGGTGCAGTGCGCGTGGGTTTAGTCACAGCTTCGCGGATTTCGCGGGTGCGTCGTCGTTGGACTCTGATGGCCGCGGCGCGGCGGCAGGCGGCGGTGCTGGTGCTGTTGCTGGCGTTGGCGATGGGCGCGGGGTGGGCGCCGGGCGCGGGACCCCGGGGATGCGCCGCGCAGGGGGAGGCGGTGGTGGTGGCCAGCTACGGGGAGGGCCGCCTCTCGCTCAAGCCTTACGACTGGACCTACCTGCGCGGTGAGATAGTTTCAGTGCTCTGTGTGTGATATGGGTTTCGGCTCTTTCTTACGTTCTCCTGCTGCGGCAAAATTTCGTCTCTTTTCTACCTTTTGTTGGGTGTAGGTGGATGTTAGTTTTTCCGGGGTTTTGCGCGATTTTTATTTCGTTTTTTTTATATAGGAATCGAGGTGATGAAACTAGCTGTTCCGGAATTTCACGGAAAACGCGACGCACGTGTCGCGGAATTCTGTTTGCTTATTAGCAGTTTGGTATAGGTTCTGCTTAGTTTTGGCCTCTCAGATGCTACTTTCCCGCAGCTGTAGGAGTTTGGTTTAGTTGGTGTTCCGTTCTGACACGTCTTTGCTACAACTGAATACTGACTTGTCTCATCCGTGGAAATTCTGTTTTTTGTTCATTCCTTTTTCTGGATCGACCTTAATTTAATACTCTACTTCCTGTACCGGCAGTTGAGTTCCCGCCGTCGTTCTCTTCTGTCACCATGGATTTCGCTGCTGACATAGACCTTGTAAGTGAAAGATTCTGTCATCCTGGCCGAACATTATCGAATTATCAAGTAAGAGTTATTTTTGCTGCTATCAGGTTTGTTGTGTGGGTATGTTGGTACTTACTACTCTTTGTGGTAGTACCTGGGTCATGCTTGTATCAAGCTCTGATTAGTGGCTAAACTGCTCTTAGATCATGCGAGACTGCTTATCAGTTCACATGCCAGTGTCTAAATTGGAGGGGACGAATTGTGGTGTCCCAAATCAATGATGGGTAAACAGCTTGTATGTTGGCATTTTCCCTTTCACATTTTATGGACAGTTATGAGCTCAGTGCCTTGTATATATAATGGGGGTCGGAGGGATATGAAACACTGGCGTAACTTGTGTTGTGATGCATAACAGTGAGCGGAGGTTTTCTTTCCTTTGAAATTTCTTGCTTTTTTTTTTTGGTGTGGCAACCCCCATTTGACTTAAATCTTACTACATTGTATCATATACCTCACAATTTTCTTATGTATAGTTTGTGGAATATTTCTTTGAATAATGCAGCACAGGGAGCACCTGAAAGGCATTCCAAGAAGCGAGCTTGCTATTATCTGTTTGATGAATTCCAACCCTCCTATTCCTGATATATCTGATTCTTATCTGGACAATTTATGTGAGTGCCACATTCCTAGTGTGATGGTTGTTTCCATTTCCTATTTAAACTGTTTCTTGCACCTGCTTAATTGTACGGCAAATTTGTTTAGGTTGCTATATGTAGTTTGCAACTGTTCTCTTCTAAATTGAATGAATGATTTATACCCTATTAACGTTATTCTTAATCCTATCATGATTGGTGTTGTGGTTCTAGTAAAACTTTCTTGCAAACAATGAGTGATAAAATAAGAAAGATCATCACTGCACATGTTTGCTAATCCAAAACTACGGGATCTTTAAGCTTGTTCATCCTGAAAGCCAATTACTTCAGATTTTAATGTAATATTGTGGAGTAATTTTGATGATCAGCACTTTGTGCTATTTCACATCCAACCTGAGGGCTTCGAACTGTATAGCCATCTAGCATCTGTGTTATTTCCTGCTGGCGTTGAGCAAGATATTTATTTCTGTGAGCTAGAAACTTCCCATCAAGTGACAGTGCTTTACCTTTCCAGTTGTTTGGTTCCAATGAATAGTATATTTCGTGCAGAAAGAAGATGTTGATTTAGGGGCATCCTTCTGTTAGCTTTTTTGTTGATCTTTTTCTTGAAATCTATTCTTAATGCGTAAATAGCTTTCTGAATCATTCAACTAATTTTGACAGGAAGGTTCTTTATTGCAGTATCAAACTCTCTCCCAGCTGGACCTTTTGGAAACAGCAATATAATTAATCAGCCAAATCTGGTGCAATGCTTACCATTTCAGAAAAACACAACGGTAGTGCTAACAAATGACCAGGTAAACTATCCTTATACTGTAAATTTCTAAAAAAAATTCTACCATATGAGATCTGTTGAGTAATACTCCCACGTTTAAATTATATAGTTCACTTTGCCTTTGTCATAAGTTAAACTTCTCTAACTTTGACCAAGTTTCAGAAAAATATATTAACGCCAATAAGGTCAAACAAATGTCCAATCAAAAGATATTTGATGGACACTTAATGAAACTAATTTGATATTCTAGATGTTGGTGCATTTTTCTACAAACTTGGTCAAAGCTAAAGAAGTTTGACTTAGGGCAAAACCAAAGTGAACTATAATTTGGTACAGAGGGAGTATGTGGTAATGTAATCCTTATTTGTAACAGTACATCTTTATGTTGAGTTATAATAGCTACGCTAACATTTGGATGATCATATTTTCAGTAATTTGATTACATTTTAGTATTATATTATGAATATTAATACTGCTTCTGTAATTGTGTTGCTTTGCTTTTCTCAAGTCAAATAATTTGGGATTAGTATTGACATTGTCCAGAGTAGTCACCTCCTAGATACAGTAGTAATCAATTAGATAACTGAAACTGACTCTTCGTTGATTACTTAACTGGACCTAGTTATATATATAATACTGCTAATTCCTGTAATCAATCATTTTTGATCCTCTGTTTTGTGGCAAGAAATTATGATCCTGTTTTACACCAAGTAGCTGAAAAAACAATATCTTTGGGCTTTTGCCCTCACTTCACTGGCAATGGTTTTCATGCAAGTTACTGTGGATCCTCTGTAATCACTGTATCAATGCAATTTTTTTCTATTTTAAACATGTCCCATATTTTATTTCAAGAATTGAATTATGAGTCGGATTTGTTTATAAACTTGGTTTGGTCGTTGTAGTGGTTAACTTGTAATAATTTGGTCTGATTTCTCTCTTTAGAAAATGAAGCTGGATACTTTTTCCATTATCTAAAAAAACCTTAGTAATACCAGATTGAAGAAATTTATTACCTTCTCACTCATTAAGTGTGGAAGAAATTTACGATGCTAATCTGTTCATTAAGTGGAAGAAATTTGTTGTCTTCTGATACACTGAAAGCCCCTTAAGAAATTCTATAAACTTCTGAGATGCCGACCTTTGATTGTTTTCTGCAGATATCTCCTGGGGTATGGTACATTGGGTACTTTCATGGCCTTGGTCCTGCTCGCACGCAATCAAAGATGGTATGTTTTGATCAGGACAAGGCTATAGAAATCTTGGTCTCTACTGCATGTTTATCTTTTCTGGCCTTTTGGCACAAATATGCATTGATCAATATATGAATTTGTGGTGGTTATACTTTTGCAGATTAGCCGGGGAAAAGCACGCGTGATGAGCACTCGCATTACTGTAAGAGGATGCCCCACTTCAGCATTTTGGGGACCATACTGCAACCAGACAGTTGACATGATTGGTTGTTCTCAACCTTCAATAGATAATAACTCAAGAAATCTTCTAGATCTGAATGTTGAGAGGAGGAACAGTTTGTATACTAGAGAGCACAATAGGCGTATTAATATCTTATCACAGCCGAACCATTTAATAGAACAAGAAGTTGCATCTAACGTCACGGCCTTGGTGAGAATGGAAAACTCAATCAGTTGTTCCATTTCTAATGACTCATTATGCATCAGACAAGGCGACATGAAGTTCTACTTCTTGGATGTAGTCAACCTAGCATTGCAGTTTGAAATTACAGCTACAAATTTTGGAGCTCTAGGGCCATCCTTGATTTGCTACCTGCGGTATAATGCCTTTCCTCAAAGAGATCTGCATGACTATTCAGGTGATATCAGCCATGATCCCTTGGTTGTGAAGTCACCAAATATTGGGCGTTGGTATATTGCAATTGAGTCTGTCAACAAAACACAGATGAATGTTACAGCATCACCACCTGTTGTAGACACAACATGTTTCTCATTGAAGTGGCAATTAACTGGATGCTTGAATGGAAAAACTGGAACCAATTGCTCTTGGGAGGCATATGGGCTCCAGGTAAGTCTATTATACTGCTATATTGTGCTAACTGATAGGAATGTATTGTATAGCTGACTAGTAGTTTGATCCATCCAACTTAAGTACTCCATTAAAGATACAATGAACTGCCAGTTAACTATGTTTCTGCTGAGTTTCATGCACTAATTAGTTCACTCAAATGCTTAACTTTTTTGGAAGTTGGGGCAAAACCACCACTCACGTCTAGGCTTCCTCGAGTGAGTCTATCATGTGGACTGAAAGTGCAGTTCTAGTTTCTTAAAATTTTGCTCAAGTTTTGATCTTAGGACCTTTGGCTCTGTATTGTATCAAGTTTTATGCTCTGAACAGTTTGTACAAATTAGTAAGTTGTTTAGGAAAAGTAGAGAATGTACCCAGTCTCTTAACTGTTGTGTGCAAAACACCTGAACTTGAGTCATGCGGTGTTTTCCCTTTAGTAGATGAAACAAGTTTCCCCCCCAGAAACAAGACTTTTCAGTGTGCCAAAAATATGAATAAATCATCCAGCTATAACTATAGCGAAAAATGCGGTTTTCAATTTCCCTTTTCTTTGTTGAAACATACACAACAGCTACTAACGTTAGACGAATGTTCATTTAAGACTGATGTTGTGAATGCTTTGTGACTATATGTTTTCTTTCCCTGTCAATACATCTTTGCTAATCAAATATTTCTTCCTACACGCAGAGGGTTCCTAAGGGAAGTCCTTCTGTCCCTTTTGAGTCATATTATGTTCCTACTGATGAAAGAGCATCACTGGAAGATAGCCACTTCTACTTGGAACAATTTTTAAGCAACTCGTCCCATGAGCAGTTTGCATGGACATATTTCTTTTTGGATATTCCTCAAGGTTCAGCAGGTGCACTTATCCATGTCCAGCTGAAGTCAGATAAAGAATTGAACTACGAGTTGTACTCGAAATATGGTGGCTTACCATCTAATGATACTTGGGATTATTATGCCAGTAGGACAAGCAGCAGTAATGGTTCAGTATTTTTTTCATTACAGAATTCCACGAATTCTGACATGGATCTATCAATTTTTTATGCTAAAGAGGGAACTTGGTGCTTTGGGGTGAAGCATCCAAGTGATACAGCAAATTATCAGACATACATGTCTGTATCTCTTCAGGGATGCCATAGAAACTGCAATCAGAAAGGTGTATGCCATTCCTCAGTTGATGAAAGTGGGCTGACTTTCTACAGGTGGTTTCTAAAGATGTTCCGTTGTGAAAATTTTCCTATTTTTAGCACTTTTACTCTTTAATACTTGATTTTCAAAGGCTAGACAAAAGGTATATCTTGTAGCTCGTGTGATAACCTTTTCATTCCTTTCAGCTTCTGCACATGTGATCGTGATCATGGTGGGTTTGATTGCAGCGATGAGCTAGTTTCCCCTAATGGTAATTACTTTCATGTCTCGTTTTAAAAATCTTACTATAGGACAATGTGTATTAATGTCTTCCCCAATGAAATAGTTTTTGGACGTTACAAATGTTAAAACTTTTAATATATACTCCATCTGTTTCAAATTATAAGTCGTTTTGGCTTTTTTGTGTACATATTTTTTTTCTATGTACCTAGATACTCCTATATGCTATGCCAATATCTATGTACCTAGGAAAGCCAAAACAACTTAATTTGGAATGGTGGGGATACTTTCTAATATGGAAAATATTAAGATTTTCTACTTTAAGACATTTTAAGGTAACAGTTTCTTGGGAAGTTTTCTTTAGTTAGATTGGCATGCAGAAGAAGCATGTAGCTTTCACAAATTGCAATTACCAGCAAACTAGGGGCCGAAGACATAGCACACAACACAGAAAAGCAGCTTCACCGCTTGGGCTGGCTGACTAGGGATAAATTAAAAAAAAAAAATCCATACCCCTGAGGTCATGTTGTGTCTCAACCATTGGCTAGCTTATTGAGATTCATTACTCACTCTCAGCGTCCTCCAGCTACTGTCACTCTACTTGAAAGCTCGGCCTCCCTTCAGCTGCTTAACCTTGTTGTTTACTTAAGCAAAGAATCGCAGTGTAACGCTACTGAAATGCCTTTCTGTAAGGTATGAATCTAAGTTTGTGCCTGACTTGGGACTTTTATAGTTCCAAGGTCCACCAAATTTTCACAGTTGATGAACTATTGAGAACTAAAAAACTGTTTTTTCAGACTGCATTGTTATTTGTTGGCAAGTAATTTTTCAATTATTAAAGTGATTCAACAGTGCAGCTAAAAAGAAAACCTTACCTGCGGGAGAAAGACTGTCCCCACGGCATTGCACTAAGAAGAAGGGGTGTTAACCTAGGCCTGTTTAAATTCTCTCCCACGAGGACTTGAACCCAGGACCTGAGGTGCTGCGCCCACTAGGTTACGTACCCTTTCGCAGCAGTGCAAACCAAGACGAGTCAAACTGTGCCACATACATGTACTTAAAGGATGTTAAATGAAAGAAATAAACCAGGGCACACCAAAGTTTTGTCAAATGTAGTTGGAATCTCATGTCCAAATTCTGTGTTTTTAGGTTGCAGATATTTTCAATGAGAATGTAGTTCCTTCTTTGTGCAATAACAGTTCTGAGCCAGTATCTTTCAAAAAAACAGTTCTGAACCAGTTGCTAGTTGTGATGCATGCTTTTGCAACCATGTAGTAAAATTATAGTCTAAAATGGTCACATCTATATGTAGGGCATATTTGGCAGTCTGTTTTTCTAATCGCATCAAATGCTGCAGCTATTTTACCTGCCTTCTGGGCCCTCCGACAAAAGGTATGTTTTTCATCTACTGTCATTGTGGCCTGACATGACCTGTTTGACTTTCAGTTACCACCAGTATTTTTTCTTGAGTCTGCATCATAGGTGGCTACTATCTACAATGCATGGTGGTTTGTGTATCTCCATAAACTTTTAAACTAGATATTCAGGTCCCCAAGTTTGTAGAAGTGGGTCAACTGTAGCCCAAAAACATTTTTGTGTCTCCTGTCATTGTTTTCATCTGGGCACAGGGTGTTGAGTGGATGTGGTCCCTCTCCATATTGTTATGTGGAAGGCATGCCAGCGAGGCAAAACTACTTTTATAATTCATTCATGTATACGTGTTTAAACATGCTTAGTTTCAAACCATCGTGCCTATTGGAATCATCAGTGTATATTGCAAATCCATGGGCCTTGGGGTCTTAAATTGATTACACAAAATTAAGTAGTGTTTCTAGTTGGTAGTGAAATTCTTAGGAACTGTCAGTGTCAGATGAAAGAAGGCTGTCTTGTACCCATCAGTTGGCTTTCATCTCATCTTCAAACTTCTGTTATGGACAGATGAAAGAAAATGTACTCCATAAGGAAGCTAAACATTTTAATTTGATTTATTATAGAATGCATGAGCTTTGTTTGACCAGATGCTAACTATTTTTGCCCTTGCCACCAAGGCATTTGCAGAATGGATTCTTTACACATCTAGTGGAATTTCCAGTGCATTATACCATTCATGTGATGTTGGCACCTGGTGCATTCTATCTTTTCGTGTATTGCAGGTAAGCTACTTAGCACCCACTTGTTGAATGCTAGTGTAAAAATTGTTGGGCATGGTACTGGTATTCATCACTACTGGTCATGTCTATCCAAATTAAGGTTGACCAAATACATTTGTTTTACCAGTTCTGTTGATTATGTCAAAATCCCATTTGCTTGACTTTCTAATTATTCACATTTCTTCTATTCCATTATATTGTATCTGAGTCCAGTTTTTGGACTTCTGGCTTTCCTTCATGGCTGTCGTGGGTACGTTCATATATATGGCTACAATTGATGAAGCTTCAAAGAGAGCAATGCATACTGCTGTGTTTATCCTCACGGCTCTTTTAGCTGCAACTGGTGCGACAAGGTACACAGATCGCAGGTTACATTTTTTTTTTTCAAAATACTAAGGTCCTTGTTTTGATATAGTCGGATTCGCATCAATCCACATGTGTTGGGATGGATTGTAGTGGAACTTGAACTTAATTCCACCCCAATCCACTCCAACACATGTGGATTGAGGTGAATTCGACAACATCCAAACAAGGCCTATCTGAACTTAAGGTGGTCTGATTGAGTTATCGTCTCAGATCTGCAAATATTGGAATCGTTATTGCCATTGGTTCTCTTGGCCTGCTTATGGGGTGGCTATTGGAGTTCTCTACAGCACGAAGGTTTATATGCTGGTCCCCACGAATTAACCTTAATATGCCTCAAAGGTAATTTGCTTGTATTGGACACATGGTGTTATGAAATAGCACCTACTCTGTGTATCGTGTTTTAGTTTAGTCTTTAAATGGAAATTCCTCACATGCGTATATTTTTGTTTTTGGAGCATATTCTATCGCCTTTTGTGCTTAGGCTTATGGTGAACGCATAATTAACAACCCATAATGTCAAGCATTTCCTTGAGTGGGATGACTCAGTTGTCATCTTGTTATTCTTTTGTGTAGTTGGCCAAACTTCAGAACTTTGTTCCAGAATATTCTGGAGATGTTGAACAAATGCTTCCGTTGGATATTTTTACTTTTGGGTTTCATGACATTGTCTTTTGCGGCTATCAGCTGGAAGCTGGAATCGAATAGCAACTATTGGATTTGGCACAGGTGTGGAATCATCACTTTGCCCTTGCCACCAAGGCATTTGCGGAGGCTCTGACTTTATCACTATATTTGTTTATAGCTGTCTGTTTCACTGCTATATTTTCTAGCTTATTGTTATTTATATCACTACTAATTGACAGAATTACCCCCTCTTGCAGCATATGGCACATAACCATTTATACTTCTTCGTTTTTCTTCCTGTGCTCAATGCGTGTCAGCACAAGGAACCTCAGTCCAGAGTCAAACTATGAGTTAACGAGGCAAGACTCTTTGCCAAGATCAGAGCCAAGGGAAACCTAGGTAAGGAACTGGGGTGATCAGAATGCAGTATTGTCTCCACTACCTGCTCATGGTAGCTAGTTGGATGTTTATGTTTGATGGTTCCATGCAAGAACTCTCTGAGTTGGGCTATGGCTTTGACTCATTTTGGCAGAGAGGGGATGTGGTGGATTCATTTAAATAGTATGGATGTGCAGGTCTGTTTGTGTAGGTACATGGTTATCTGTTGCAGTCCGGAGCGTAATAACATATGAACAATCATAGAAGAGGGATTTGGGAACCACGTGTGGTCAGTCTCTGCAGCTGCATCACATGAGAACTGTAAATAGCACGGTGCAGGTAAAACATCTATTTGTGGGATGTTGATCCAGAACATTGGTAAACATGTAAATGTGTTGTAAAAGTAATTCGTACGTATCTTCTTGGAATTAGTTCATTGCATCATGAGTTTGGCACTTGTCGAAGTACAAGTCTCATACAGGCTTTGATGTACCTTGCGGATATGAGGGATGGCTAGTGATAAGCCAAACCTTAACCCTAAGCTCATTTGCATCTGGTCTAGCAAAGCAAAGGCTACATCAAGGATTAGAGGGCGGGAGTAGAGAGACTGAGTCTCCCCTAGTTCTTCACTACAGTTGGAGGATAGAGGATGGTATCAATGACCCTTTAGGTGAATTCAAGACATAATCCAAGCCCCCGTTGATTTGATTTTTGTGCTCCAATCTTCCTCTCCTGGTCGCATGCTTTTGTGCTATTTTGATTTTCAGACCAATTTCTATGGGATTTCCGTTACTCCCTTTTGCCTCAGGGTTGTGGTGAAGTTCCTCGGCTTCCTTCCTGCTAGGACATGTGAGAGATCAAGATCATCGATCGAATCATTTCTCTCACGAGCACCCTACCTTTCCTTCATATTCTTGGGCTCTTTTTCTGAGCTTTTTCTTGGCTCTTGATTGAGCACGAGTTATCTATGTTCTTTGTGTGTTTTGGGCTTGTCCTGGAATTCAACATGTTGCATTTCATGTATTCAGAATCAAATGTCCTGTTGACATGTCATTTGAATTGAATTAAGTTAAAATATAAACGTCATTGTCGTGTGGAGCTGTCAGCTTCCACGCAGGACAGCATGCATGAGGTTCAGATAAATGGGGATCCATGAGGCATTGAGGTGATGAGAAGGAGTACACCTAGCTGAAGAAGAAAGCTCACTGCAAGGTCACGTGGGAGTACCAATAGATCCATCTAGGAATTGCAAATGTTCATCAAGTTCCTTGAGGAACTTGTCTCCTTTTGGGGACTTCGATTTGCTTGCGAAATTCTTGGTAAACTCTTGATCTTTTTGTCAAGATTCATGTGGGAATACACTCACCACGGGTTCGAGATGGCTTGGGAAAGTTGTAATATTTTGATGAGCACTAGGTTGAGGGTGTCCCAGTGAAGAGAAGGTTTCAGTATTGCTTCCGCCATGTTATGCCAGTTGGCAATCTTGTATGAAGTTAATAAATGATGTAATAAGACATACCCCCGTTCGCTTCGCTGAAAAAAAAAGCCGAAACACTGTTCCGGCTGATTTGTTGTGAGAGAAAAACACTGTTTCGACTGAAAAAAAAAACCGAAAAAGACGGATTATAAGAGAAACGAACAGGGTATATTGTAATCTCCATCCGGCAACCAAATAGAGCCTAGCATATTATTTAACAAGGCATCCTGGTACCAGTGACATGTAGGGGGAGCAGAGGTGCCATGTGGGAGAGACAGGGAGCGAGTGTGTGGGCTGAACATCGACAGATCAAGTGGGTGGGTTGTGGGGTTGGGCTGTTGTGCTGAAAGAATGGACCGGGCGAAAAATTAGGTGAAGATAAATTTTGTTTCTTTAATATTAAGTACAGATATACAACACACACATGCATGCGACCCCTTTTTGTGTAGTATGGGTAAATCATTGTATCTTTCCCATTCTTCTATCAAAACTATAATATTGCTGTGAGAAGATTAGGAGTTCGACTGTGTGCCTAGCATGCTGCTTTCTATCTTAAGCAGAATGCTAGGGAGCTATTATACCCATGCGGGTCGAGTTTTTTTACACCTAGCTCCATCACTTATTGTGTAATATTCATTTTACTACTATGTGGCATGTAGTATAAGATAACCTATGATGACACCTACTATATCAATATTTTAGGTAGTTAATTAATATATATCTATATTTATAGTAATGGTTATAAATTTATATATCTGTCTTTTATCAGTTTCTATAAAAGATGTAACAATTTTTTATTCTAACTAATAAAAATTAAATATGACAGTTCATCATGTGTTGATGCTTGATGTTATACAGCTCATGTAACCAACATCATATCTATTATGTGATATAATGACTCACTCAAGGCGACATATTGATCCACATAATCCTCTACCCACCATCTTTTTTTTCTTCCTCCCCCTTCCCCCTTCCTCTCTTTTTAAAACAAATCTAGGGTTTGTGAATATAGATGAAAATTTCTCCCACCATTAAAAGGTCAAGGCCAAAAGTTTAAGGATCCACACACCATACAAAAATGGCCGGAAGTTGTGCCCTACCACCTCCATTGAAGTCATATTCCTCGGCGCCCGCATTCAAATCAAACTCCTCGGGTAACTTGAGCTTTGGTATGCATTTGTCTTCCGCAGGGGAGGTGGGGGCGACACTGAGTGCGAAGCAGCATAAAAGTTTTTAGAACCGTAGGCACTTCCCCAAAAATAACTCCACGAATCATAGTGGGAGTTACCAACAATATGCTCGTACAACTTGAGTACAACTACAGGAGTTAATAAACGTTACAAGATCAATTGAATGGAAATCGTAAATATATTCGGTGGTTTACTATTATATATAGATGTAGTATTGTTGTATTCATGTGGTAATACTTGAAGCATTTCCCTTATTTCTCAACACAAGATGTCATTGATCTCTAAACCTGACAATGCAAGTCAAGTTGGGCACGCGGTATATTGGTGGTGCAGCAGATAGATGGCGTGGTTTCAAATATAGTACCTAGTTAAGGTTAACAATCGACATTACGAAGGCGTAGACCATCTATTAGCGATAATGATAATAATAGACGTCCGGACAGACGGATGTCGTCCTCCGCTCATTTACTGCATCCGCTCATTCCTCCCGCCCCCTTTCCCTACCACGGCATCTCCGCACCATGCAGTTGCGCCCCAGCGCCCCGCCCCCACGCGCGTCGCACTAGCCACGCACCCCGCTGCCTCCCTCTCCCTCCTGCTCCGGCGCGGCGGTGTCCCGGCGTGAGCACGAGCTTTGATCCACGCAGCCACCCCCCGTGACCCCCTTTCTCTTCTCCGGCCTGCCACCCCCAGTGTAACAACCCAGGTTTTCCAATAACCCAAAAATCTGAACTTAAAATTTTTCTAACAAAACTAATGCATGGTGAGTGTGTATACTAGGAAACCACCCATATAGTTGCACAAGTATATCCCAAGCTAGCTTGTTTGAGCATTTTGCATTGTAAATTCAACTTGTGAGTTGCTTCTTCATGATTTTATGTGATGTAATAAAATCAACTAAACCTTTCAATAAAATTATTGTGTGTGTGTTGCCAACCCTTGGCATTGACCCTAATACCCTAGTTGACCCCTAGTGGACCCCATAAGGGTGTGTACATGCTTGGCAACACATGTACACACTCATAGGAGCCCAAGGTATAGCATAGAAGGGGTATAGGAAATAGAAAAGGAATTGGACAAGGGGAATAAATAGAAAAGGGAAAGCAGCCCCGCAGCAGCAGCCGGCCCAGCTCGCGCCAGCACCGACTGTCGGCCTGCTTCACCTGCGCAGCCCAGCCAGCCACCATGGCCCAGCACTGCGTCCGCGCTCGCGTGGCCCAGCAACGTGGCCCACGTCGCACCCGCCCGCGTCGCGACGAGCCGCTGCTGTCGCCTTCCCCGCAGCCGCTGACGCGTGGACCTCGCCTATCATCCCCTCCGTTTTCCCTCCTCTCCTCTACTTTTCCCGCCGAGGTACAGCACCCCGCCGTCCGTTCCCAAGCTGTTGGGCGATGGACGCCACATCCATGATCCGTGGCACCCCCACGCCTCCCCCAGCCGCGCCGCGCTGTGCTGATGTCGCCGCCGTGGCCCCATCGCCATGACGCCACCCCATCCGCCTTTTTGACTGGACACCACTCGAATTGGGAGCACCAGCGCCCGCACGATCACCCCGCGCTCCCAAAACCCTAGCCTAGAGGCCGTATCCGCCCTACACGTACCCCCTCTGCCCTTTCCCGCCGTCCGCCTCTCACCATGGCCGTAGCTTCCGTATAAGAGGGCACCCCCGGTGAAAGTGCAATCAAGCCCTAATTATGGGTTTTAGTGATAATGACCATGCAATATTAGAGAACTAATGAGATTTATCGAGATGACAAGTAGGGAATTTATATTCGAGGATGCTACACGAAACGAAGGAGACCTGAATTACAAATGTTGATGGCTTTAAACTCAAAGGAGGTTTAAATTCTTTTATATATTGAATTTGAGTATAGGAAAAGTCATACTATAAATGGGGACACAATGCTTAAGCTAACATGTGCTACCAAGTGCTCAAACATACATATGCATCCTCAGATTCACAGCCAAGACAACCTAAACTTCACTCTTACCCTTGCTGTCTTGACTGGTGCGGCACTGCCGCACTTGAAGCGAGG